CTAATATTATAAGACACTTTTCGAAATTTTAGAATGACAATGAGCGTTCAACCTCGATCCAGCCAATTACATAAAATTACATTTTATTCGCATTTGACGCAGCAAAAAAAGATGACAAACGTCAAGCTTGAATTATCAAGAGGATATGCACAACGCTGGATGAGAGGAGGAAATTCGATGGCACCACGTCATAGCGAAGGCAGGAATGAAAGAATTTAATAATAAAAAGGCTATCAAGTGGCTTCTTTACTTGGATGCTAACAATTTACTATATGGTTGGGAGATGATACAATATTTACCTACAGGAGGTCTCCGTTAGCTTGACTTTAAGGACTTGCCAAATATACAAAACATTTCACCAACGGCTAAACGAGGAAGTGCATGGGAAGTAAAAACTAAGGTATCCGGAAAAATTACATCCATCACTTTCTGATTTTTCTCTCTGTCATGAATGTCCAGTGAGGGTATACGATATTAACGTACGAACTGGTCGGAGTTAACGTTAACGCTATCACGTGCAAGTGCAAGTGCATAACTCCTAAACTCGGGCCAGTTCGTAGTACGTAATATCGTACACCCTTCCTGAACGACGTATAGTAAAATGTGAAGAACTTAGTCTCTATCAATTGAGAAATTGAGTAAGGGAAAGTTTGCAGGGACAGAAAAATTAGTGGCTATGTTAGAAATTAAAGACCGCTATATACTTCATTACAGGAATCTTCAACAATGTCTTGCATTAGGAATGGAATTAGAACACGTATATCATGTATTAGAATCTAACTAATCATCGTGGCTCGAACCCTATATTAGAGGTCTGCATTGACCCTATTTTACAACCCGGCTCGCACTTGGAACTTAACCTAAAGTGCCAGGTCCGGACTTAATATATTAAAAACCTGGCTCGGACCCGGATTATTATTATATCAATTTGTAAAAACAAAAAAAATTGACCAACTTAATTTTGGCCAGTTCAATTTCGGCCGGAATTAAGGCGATTTTGACCAGAATTACGAAGGTGAATTTGAAAGAAAATTTGCCGGCCCAAACCCGGATCCGGGTCTGGGCCGGGTCCAGGTTCCTGGTCTCGTTCGCAGGCCTCTACAATTTTACGAAACCATATAGCAAGAAAAATTCATTTTATTTGGAAAATTGACATTATCAAACATCAAACAATGTTATACTGGAAAGGGAAACGGATTGCTCGGCTTGACAATGCCATAATAATTTAATAATAAGCCTAGTAAAAGATGAAAACCAATACGATAAAAATAAAAGAACAACAATAAATTATTAATATTTACTCCAAACTTTGAGAATGTCCCATATCATACATCTCTATTATAAGAAAGAGTTAAGAGGTGATACGCTAACCGACATCATTAACTAAAGTAAAAACTAGATATGACCTGGAATTGCAAAATGGGTAAGTTTTTTCTTTTCTTTTCTTCCTTTAATAAGAATAAACCTCATAATGGATTATAATCATATTTATGTTATAAGCAATAACGGCAATGGGCATCATTATCAGTCACGAGATTTTTACAAACCATCCTAATACGTAATTTATTTTATACTCTTAATCGGTTATTATTACGCAAAAAAAAATTTACCCGATTTCCACGTATTTATTAATAAATATCATACTACGTAATTTTCGATTATACGATTGGCCAATGCAGTATAAATGTATAATATAGGTTCTTTTACGATTAGCAGCAGGTATAATAGGTTGTAATTGGTGGGCAAGAAACTTATATCAAAACCAAAAGTATTGTTCCAGAAACTTGGCTTGTTACAAATTGCTCGCAGCTTTACCTGCAGGAAATAACCACGAAGGTACATTTCTTTGCCAACCAGACCATCGCAGAGGTAATAATTACTGGGCTACAATATAAACTATATTAATAATAAAAATTATTAAAATACAAGATAAAGATGGGTCCCGACTCCCGACTCCTACCTAACATTATGGCCAATACATTACGACGGCACAACGCAAAAAATGCTTTGAGAGGGACTTGTGGAAATTAATGAACAAGACAGTATTCGGTAAAACTATGGAAGACGTAAAGGGGCTGATTGTACGTCCAATAGGTGAAGAATATCGTCTACGTAATATGTTGTCAGATCCAACCTTGGTTGGACGTAATCGCAATTCATCGTAGGCAAACTCACGTTACACTCAATAAGCCGATTTATGTAGGAGCAACGATTTTGGATTTAAGCAAGTACTACATGCACGATTTCTGGTATAATCATATCAAACGAAAGTATGAGAATAAGGCAAAGCTTTGTTATACGGACACTGATTCATTTATTGCTGAAATAGAAACGGAAAATGTTTATGCCGATATGATCGAAGATGCCGACCTCTACGATTTAGTGATTATCCAGAAGATCATCCATTACTTAAAAAATTACCATCCGGCCAATGGATAACCAGGCCATACGGTACACAAGAGCTAAAAATATGAAGGTAATTGATAAGTGGAAGGATAAGAATGCTGGGCACGAATAATAAGGTATGCCAACGATCGTTACAATCACACGCTGAAAAATGTGGCAAAAAATATACAGAAATCTAAAGGACTTAAAAGGTCTAGCATGAGCATTGTATTCTAGATAATGAAGACAAATCCCAAACTGCTTCCGTTGTGCCATAGTCTGCCCATAGAGGCATAGACAATCCGACAATCAAAAGAAGTATTAACCACTTGATTCCAAAAGATGGATATTAAATGATCGTATTACAACTTGGGCAATGTGGGAATAATATACCTCGAGAAATATTAGCAGGTTTAGGTATTTAAGTGAATTAGAAAAGTTATTTCAACATATGATTATGTTATAATATGTAGTGGGTAAAGGTAACTTATATACAAGATACAGTTTAATTGTCATGAAAGATGAAGTCTCATTGTATGGGATGCGCATTCCATTTTTAGACGAATTTTATTCCGATGACGATCTTTATTATGAGCTTCCACATATTAATAAATCAGTAGAGAGGAGTTGTTTGCCGAAAAGTAATCCAGTGAAAACCGCCATGGTGCATGACAGTTCATCTGAATCATCCGAATCTTCTGGAGGTGAATTTTTCGATACAGTTATTCCTAAGAAAAAACAAGAATAATAAGTATAAACAGAAAATAAAGAGTGGCCTCATTGTCTTGATTGCCGACACGAGTTTACCGCTAGCACATAATAGTAATAGTTTTTAGTCGACATTCATTGTATTACTCCGATTCCGGAGTGCTGATCAACATCTCGGAATATTTTTTTTTTGCTGAGCCGCATGCACGCATATGCATGTATGAAACAAGGCAGAGTCTGTGCAACATCTACATTTAGTACCATTCGCCCATTCGGTATTTTTTTTCCGCAAATAAAAATTTTATTTTGGGTTCTATTTGTTTGTATTCCTTTTTAAGACAGACCATTCTACTATACAAATAAGGAATAGACACTTATCTCGTATACAGCATTTTAGCCAATAAAATTTCACAAAAAATTCTACGTTACTCTGTCTATTGATAGGGAAAAATTAGTTAGCCACCTCAAGCCGCTTCGAACCGTGAACGGAAATTACTCGATGAACTCAACTCGTTGCGGACATTATTCAACGAATTTGTCCATGGTACGTATAATGTGGTGGGAAAGGTGGAGAGGTTTCGTGACGCATCAGAATTTTTTTTGAGCTTTGTTCACGAAGTAACTCTGTCGTTAACTGCAGATTTCGATGTTGTCGTTAGTCCGAACGAACTAAATTATTCAAGTGGCTCTCGATGGCCTCAGAGAACGCATACGTGCAGTGAGTAAGCGTAAGGCAAACGAGATAGCAGTTGCGGGTAAGGTATTCGGGATTATTATAGATGCGAACGAATGGTATTGTCGTGTATGACAGTGAGAACATGGGAGGTACGGTTGAAAGGATTCTTGGTCATATTTCTTGGTTATTGGGTGAGGTACAAGAATCGCTCGAAGTGAAGAGAGACTAATAAAAAAGCAAAAGTCGTCTAGCAATCTTGCGGAAAAACCAGAGTAAATAGTTCTTAGCGTAGTAATTCATCATGTATCATTGGGCAAAGTCCCGAATTTTTGTATTTATTTTAGTGAAACTGGTTATTTCTTCAAAAGGCTAAAAAGCACTTCGATTAGTAACTTGTATTTATTTTGTCTGTTTTAATAAAAAAATTTTCAGCGAACATGGTCGCTAAAAAATTACATGGTTATTTTTTTCTCGATTTACTAGGTATTTAATACATACGCTATATCATAAAGAAATAAAAGACACAATATTTTGTTCTAACGAGTTTATGAGTTTTGAAAATATCAATTTGTCATCAGCGATCACTTACTGTTTATGATATACGTTCGGAGCTTTTCAGGGGAATACCAAGATATTACGTTTACTACGATGACATCGTATTATTAAGCTTTTTAATTGAGCAATCACAATAGTTATTAATAATCTATTGTCTTCATTTCAATTTGATAGTTTGTTCTACGTAAAAAGATATATAAACACAACAAAAATGATGAATCCTTACTCTGAAATCGTTCGACTATATTTAAATGGAAGGTGGCGATCGCGACGATCATTTGAGGAACTGAAATTAGTAGCGAATGGTTTAAACGGATTTTATGTATAAAAAATGATAATGATCTTGTTATATTTGTGGCGAAGAAAAAGATTTCGTAGTGTCTTCGGAACAAAGTCACCAAATGTACACATGTTGGTACCATTGTAAACAGTTACACAGACGTGACTATCCTATTAATGGTGCGACATTATCATTTGAAATTGATATTATAATGAATTTATTTAAGTTCACATTTACATTCAAAATTTGCCAATTTGCCTTACATAGTAAAATAAATGTACAAGCACATCCGTCAACGGAGTACGAATTCCTTATTCTCTATAAAAACGTACATCCATTTAAATTTATCTATTTACAATACTTTCGAGCTCTTTTCTTGTTTCTTTAAAAAAAAAAATGTCTCAAAAAAATATTATTATTTGTTTTTTAGTTATCTTTGTTTTCGCAGTTAATTATAGTGATGCAATAGATGTCAAAGTTGGAGATGGTTATTATCCGTTTGATCCCATATCCGTTGATACACATTATGATGAGCCTGTAGGTTTTATTTCATTAAAATCAACATGAAATAAATTTTTTTTTGAATAAATAAATAAATAAAAATTATTACTTTTTTATTAGGTAGTATTTATAAGAACAGGCACTAAGACGTTTGCACTCGATGAATATGATGATTGTACAAAATCCGAAAGACCTGATTCTTGTAAGTAAAAATGTTATACATTTTCTCGTTAGTTATGCTATCATCGTTATTTTCTTTTAAAAAACGAGGGTTTTTTTTTTTCTAAAATTAGTTCATGCAGTATTAACAAATGAACAACCGAAAGCTATATTTATGCCTAAAAATACTACCGGAAGAACTGAATTTCACATACGCACTAATGGACCCGGTTGTGAGTCTCAGGATCAAATTGTCATTTCTGCAAGTGAAGACCTGCAAGGAGGACTTAAGATAATTCAAAAATATAATAGTAATGAATACGATGATAATAATAATAATAACAATAATAATAACAATAATAATAACAATAATAACAACAACAATAACAACAATAATAACAACAATAATAACAACAACAATAACAACAACGGTAATAAAAACAACAACGGTAATAACAACAACAACGGTAATAATAACAACGGTAATAGCAACGGTAGCGGTAATAATAACGGCGGTAATAACAACGGCGGTAGTAACAACGGTAATGACAATAGTCATTGCATCATTTGCATTACAACCCATAGCGCCGGCGATAAGGTTCAAATACCCACCATTATTGGTAATTGTAGCGGAATAGTTTTTGCTATTATAGGTGTAGTGATGGCCCATTTCATACTCTGAATCATTTAGATGGAACGCGTAGTTTAGAAAAAATTCCGTTGTCGTAGTAGTGTTTTGGGCGAAAATAGTTTCGCTTAATTGATCTACAATTATGGCAAACACAAACAATAAACAATCAATCTTTTTTTGAGCCGAGAAAAGAAAAAATTAAATTTGTTGGCATATTATCGAACAAATGAAATTTTTGTGTAACACACTCCTTGCATATCCCTTTGTAATTAGTCCGGATTCCGGTGTAACGAAGGATTCGTTTTAGCATCCCGATGTCTGTATCGTTGCACGTCATCTTAATAAGAAAGTACCCGTAATATTGCTTTTTTATTTTATACCGTTTTGTTCCGAAGTATACATATTTGTTTATTGTTTATATCGTTACAACAAAAACATTCCAAATTCTCTCTCTTATCCTTTCTTTTTTTATATTAAAATAATTTTAAAAATCTATTAAATAATGAAAAAATAAATATTTTGAAGTTTAAGCTGGAATATTATTATAATGCTCTATTTTGATTTTCAAAAAAAAAACGATATATTAATTTTTTATTAATATTGTTTAAATATTTGTGAAAAAAGTGAATTTATTCCTAACCCTAGGGCCGAGGTGAGATCTAAATATTCATTACCTCCTTAAATAGAAATTTGACTGGCTAATTTTTGCGGTTGATTTTTTTTCTGATAAAAAATAAATCAGTTATAGTACACTACACTTCATTAAAAAATGGTTTATGTGGAATGTAAAATTTGGTCCTTTTCAGATAATGTAAGGCGTTACAAAGCAATGAAAGAAGGTCATACTCACTATACAGTCAAGACATTGATCGGATACATCATCATGTGAAAATTTTATTAGAAAAAGCGTGCTTGATAATAGGAATTAGTTAGAAAATTAACCTGGCGCGGACGGTTTTTAAAACCTGGCTAATAAAGAAAAACGAAATCGCTAACCAACAACAAAGATATTCTCGTAGTTAAAATATACCCTTTGAGTTTGGAAATCATAAGTTAATATAGAAATATAGAAGTCATACCTTATCGGCAAGCAGAGCATATATTGGGAGTATACGTAAAAATGCTCATTTACACTTAGGAAAAGAAATTAAACACGACCATATTAGTTACGTCATCAACAAAGTTCTTATTTCCCGAATAGAATATCTTTCCCAAAATTTTGTTATTTCTCCCTCATAATCAGTATTTTAAGATTAGTTTTTAAACAATCATTATCCTTACCTAAATCCATGTACAACACTGTAATCCATAGCCACATATATCTTAACATTATCAATTTATTCGATAACCAGATCCGTATGCAAGCTTCACTTATTAACGCCCAAGCTAACTTACCTTTAACTCCGAACATCATAAAATTTTTAATTTTGTCATCTTTATATAAATTTTGGACTCTATTAATCACAAACAACCACTTAAATTTTTTCTATCCCTTTAATATCCTTTAATAGATTAGAATCGCTTATGTGTTTTCCCCATCATTATGCTATTTCACTTGAATTTAATTTTAATTTACTCATACGAAGCGGCAATATACCCTCGCACAATTTATTACTGATCCACAAAAATATTTTTTATTTGCTTAAAGTTTATAGAAAAAGATATAATCTTTCTCGACCAAAAAATTAGCCCTGATGGAAGCTTTTTAATGAGATGGAAGGAAATCAAGAAACACTTCAAGCCTAATACCAGAAAGAGTTCAGTACCATCTTGGTACAAATTCTTGAAAGAAAACATTATTATTAATCCTAATAACGGTCGGTCACAACGCAAATAATACAAAGCCTTCATATCAAACGTTCATCGATACCTACACCTTCTGATACGTCATACTATAGCAAAAATTTCTAGTTCGGTTATTGGTCAGATAGAATCTAATATTGTCTAGCAAGATTTTAGGAAAAACACACTTTCCCAATCATACCCATGCTTTATACAGAACACTACAATGTTCATAATCACAACTATAACAATACTAACAACACAAGTATTGGTTCATCTAGTCAGCACTTTCCTCGTTTTTAGAGACAGTTTTATAATCCCCTGTCAAGGTTGTTCGCTACACGATTCATACTACATAGGTGGTATCATAAGCGTCCTTTAACTCTCACTTTTTTAATTAAAACGTTTCAACATCAATCACGTAATCGTCAACTTCGTAAATGCCAAAAACTTGAAAAAAATCATATTACATATAGATCTCTTGGATAACAAGATTTTATTTGAGGAACACACACGAAAATTGAAATCAAAACACTCAATTTACACATCTCGGAATAAACGAAATATCTCTGGGGACTACATCACCAGATAATGACACATTAATTAGAAAATTAATAACGAACAATATGATCCGACAAGACCTGATTTATTTATCCAGTTAAGGGCTCTGTTATTCATCGGGCGAGTTCTACAAAAGCCGACTTATTCACCATCCCTATTATTTGCCCGAAAAAGAGTCAGATTGGAATTTGTACTGATTTATAATTTTGCTATAAATACGTTCAACTCGTTATATATAATCCAAATTGACACCGCGAAGATTTCAAAAAAGTAAACAATTGTCTTATCTGGGCGGCGATGAAATATATCATAGATACTTTATCGATCCAGGTGAAGTTAACCAACGTGAAAGCACATTCGAATGATCCTCTTAACGACCAAGCAGATTTATTAGCGAAAGAAACCTTAGTATAGCATCACCAATAATTATTAATAAGCTAGGTATTTCTACAGACCTACACAGTTTTGCAGGGTCATGTGAAACAAAGAATTTACGATAGATAGAAATATTAGAAAAACAATGAAAATAATTATCAACAACAAACGATTCCAGAAACAATTAGCATACAAGGATCTCTCCAGTCTCCATCATTAATGATTATGTTTAGATGACAAGATTAACTGATGGCTAGCGACAAGCTTGATTTAAATTTAACCCCTTTGAACGTCCTACTAGCTTGAAACTCAACAAATTGAATAGTTGGCGATCGGTTTTACAATTACCTACGTTAGATATTCTTAACAGGAAATTTGACCAATTGTTCTTATGTCATGAACGTATTGAGAATAAGTAACACTTATGGATCATGTTGTGAAGTTCTTCGTCGTCCGGTTTTTAATCACCATCAAGATAAACTCAAGGCACTCTTACTAAAGAGATTAAGTGGTCCTATTCAGTCCTACGTGGTCATTCTTTGGGACTGGACCGGACGGACTGCAATCCCGGACTGTATAGGGACCCAGAAATATATATATAAGGGTCAGGTGGCGAAAATTTTTTTTACTATGAGCTGTACGCAGAGACTTTTTATATGGGTAGTACGCATAATTGACACCTGATATTGAAAATCCTGTAAAAATACGCAAATAAAATTTCAGACATTAAGTTATTAATTATTTTATTATGACTTCTATATTATTTATATATACAGTAGTGGTCATAAGTATCCCACCCCTCATAATTTCTGAATCAAATAATAACACCCACTGAAATTTTTTGGGATTCAAGTATAATGCTAACCTTGATCACGTGTAAAATTTTAAGTTTATATGATGTATATTTTAGGAGTTATATGATTGGTGAATTTTTAGCTGCAAAATGCTGATCTTTTTTAATAAATAATATTTTGCACGTAAATATTCAATAGTACTAAAGCGAAATTTTGAAAAAATAGTTATTTACATTCATTATAGTTAGGATTATGATCATTTACTTGGCCAAAAATGCCATCAAAATAAAGACTTGATAATGAAAAAAATCATACTATCTATAAAAAATCCGTTATTATGATAATTTTTTTAGCTCAAAGATTTAGTAAACCAATTTTTACTTAAGTAAAGTTTTGACACTTATTTTATGCATAGTACCTATAAAGGAGATCTCTTGGCTTATTCCTATGATATTTTTAGCAAATATAACTTAGAATGAGCCTTGCATAAGGTTGATAATTCAAAACATAATCAAAAATTATGAAAAAATAAAAGGAAAAATATAATATAATTGAAATTTCCCAAATATGTATTTTATTTGGTAAAAAATTTGAGAAAAATGTGTAGTAACTCTTGAAATTAATATATTCAAAAAAAAAAAATTTATATATTTAGAAGACTAAGGCGTGAAATAGTAACTCTTGAAATTAATATATTCAAAAAAAAAAAAATTATATATTTAGAAGACTAAGGCGTGAAATAATAAAGGAATGAAAATATATGTGTAAAAAAATAAAATTTTTGGAGACACAAAATTTACTGATCATCTAACTCCTAAAATATATATCATACAAACTTAAAATTTTACACACGATTAAGGTTAGCATTATACTTAAATCCCAAAAAATTTTAGTAGGTATTATTATTTGATTTCAGAAATTATGAGGGGTGGGATACTTATGACCACTACTGTAAAACCAAATACTAATGTGAAAAAATAGAATTTATTCTAATTTACCATTTTTTCAATAATATTTTATTAAAATTTCACTTAGAAATT